TTCCCCCAAGCTGGGGACCACGGGGCAGCCGCGACCTTGGGCATAGGAAACCCATTCTGCGAGTAACACAGAGTCTTGTCCGTCTGAGTTATCCTAAAGTGGGTTTAGTGATGTTAGAGTTGATTATTTTATTTTTTTAAAACCTGCCCATTGCTTTTCTCTGCTCTCCCCTGGAGTTTTGTTTGCTATGCAATCACTTCCAGATGGAAAACCAGACTGCAGTTGGGAGTCACATTCATCGAGAGTCTTAAAACCATACCATTGCAGAAAAGATTGAGATGAGAATAGCATAACCCCGTGGGACAGCAAGACAGCCTGCTACCTATTTGGTGCCTCAAGAACCTTTGTGGTCACATAAAATAAAATTTTAATAACTCTCCCTTATTTCCTTCTTCCTTTTCTTGTTATACCCATAGGCTCTTATACATATTCATATGCACGTATATCTATATGCGTACAAGCATATATATATATATATATATACACACACAACCCCCGAGTGAATTGGGATTGGGCAGAGAAGCGTTTGCCATTAATCTGGGAACAAACCGCTAACCTCGGTGACTGGTATTTTAGCTTTTCTTTTCTCGCTTCTCTCAGTGCGGGGAGAGCAGTAAAGCTTGTGTGGACTGATTGTGAGGGGCTCTGCTGGAATTTGGCAGGCCAGGGGCTTGGAGAGAAGCCCCATGCTGACTCCTATTCAGCGGGCCAGTTTTCTGCGAGCTTTGGAAGTTTCACTCAGCCGTGCACTCAATGGCTTCACAAAGCTGATTACAAGCTTCAGCGCATTCCTGAAGGAGCCAAAAGCGACGCAGGTGCAAACGAGCCGAGGGAGCCCCTTATCCCGGTGACAGAATGGGACAAGCTGGGAAAGGCTTGGACCACACAAATCCAAGGCTCACCAGGCAGCAGCAAGCCTGCCTTGGGAACCGGGGATCATTATCCGCTCCATTCAGCGGGGACCCAGCGGAGGCAGCGGCACGTCCCAAGGCTGGGGACGGCTCCCGGGGCTTTCCGTCCCGGGTGGGAGCAGCGCCACTTCACCTGGCATCCCCTCTCCGCTCCCTTCGCGGCTGCCTCAGGCATGGACCTGAGGTGCCCCTGTTCCCTCGAGCTGATTTGTATTCCAGCATCTGTTAGGCTTCAGCCTGCCGCCTGAAATACCTCGCCGTTTTTTTCCACTATTGCCCCATCACACACGAAAAGCCTCCCACTCCTGTCCCGCTTTCCTCTTCCCTTACGCAGATAAACATGGTGCTTAAGGGTCCGTCTGGAAACCCAGCACAGAAAATGCGCTGATCCGAAATGGCAGGTTTCCTCCCAGCTGAAGTTCTGTAACAAACACCCTGTTTTGAAGACTGCCTTTAATTCCAGAGAGAAACCAGCCGAGAGTGCACCCGCCTCCCCTTCCAATTACTCGAGCCACTCGATTCCCACAGAAACCTCCCGCACCATAAGCGCCTGGTGAATGCTTTCTGAGCCGGTGAAAGCAGCCCACGGTCCCTGCCCTTCCTGTCTCCCCGGCGAGCGAGGGGGTGGCGAGGAGTCGAGGGGGTCTCGGTGCCGGAGAGGGTGAGGCGTGATTTCTTTTAATTAGGGGTTCTCGGAAGGAGTTCCTCTCGCCTCCGCTCCCTCGCACCCTTTCCTCTCTCTCAGCCCTTCCCCTCCAGCCGCGAGAAGAAGCTGCACTTTACTTCGCTGCAAAATTAATTACGGCCCTTCCCCGTATCAATTACGGAGGAATCAGCCTTTCCTAGGGAGAGGAGAAATAATCAAAAGGCTTTTCAGTCTTGCTGGGGGAGGACGACCTCGGACCGCCGAGCACATAATGCGGCAAGGGAACTGCCGCGCTTCTGGCCGATGGTTTCATATGCAAATGGAGAGCTGCCTCCAAGTTATCATTATGGTTTTATTTTTTTTCCCTTAATGTTATTATTGTGTCGGGATTTTAATAGCCACATGCTCTACCCTTCCCTTTCAGCGAGGTTTCCTTGGCGATCAGCCACGCCGCTTCTTCCCCGGGCGTGCTGCCCCCGCCCCAGCGCCTGCCCCACGTCCATGTTAATTTCGCCCTATGGAAATGAAAGCGGCCCGGCCGGGCAGCTGATATTAAAGCGATCCCCCGGTCCCAGGGCTCGCCCTTCCCGCTCCTCGCAGCGGCCGTGCCTCCGCAGGAGCGCGGCGTGTCGGTGCCGTCGCCCCCCCCGCGACCCCCCGGGCCCGCCGCCCCTTTCATGCTTGCGAGATGCTGGGGAGGCAGCGGTGCGTTTGCTTGTGCGGAGCACACCGCCTGCAAGCGGTTGCCTTGGCAGAAAGGTGCAGCTTTCTGATGTTCTTTTGTCTGATAACTAATTCAAGTTAATGCGATCTTTATGTAAAGCTAACAGCGGATAATTGTCTATTTTCTCGCCAACAATCTCCATCACAATCACTTATCTGGAAACCTGCGGTTGTATTAATCGTTATATTCCCCGAGATGAGCGTCTCTCGAATTATCAGTAAACATTGGAGGGAAATTAAACAAACTCCAGAGCCACTTAAGTTTCCTTTGCAGCTTTTAACCCCTTTCTCGAGGAGGGGGTGGGGGGAGGGAGGGTAAAGGGGGGAACAACGACACCCCTCAAACCAACCTGGGACCGGAACACAACATGAGAGGGGTGTGTGGGGGTGTGTGAAACGGTGGAGAAGGGCCTGAAATTTTGGATAGTTTTGATGAACCGAGTCCTGCTGAAGACACCTTCCATTTGAGATGCCCATGTGGCAGACAGGCATGCACCTTACGCCCCGCTAGCCAGGCGGGGGTTCGGTCTTTAGCGGCCCCTGGGACCTTGCTGGCAATTCTTGTAAATCATGTAATTAAGTGTATTAGTCGCTGCAGGGGAAAGACGAGCAGCTAGGAGAGAAAACACCGAGAGATTAAGCAGGAGTCGCATGGCTTTAGGTCTGATACACGAGGAGAAGAGAGTTCTGCTTGCTTCCGAAAATCACCATATTAGCACAGTTATTGGCAATATTTATACTAAAGAGTGATCTGAACCCCAGGAGGGTAACAGAGAGCGCACGCGAGAGAAACTACTGTGGGAATATGTTTTACTGCTCAGATCCCATCAGTTCCGTTAGGTGTAAAGAAATTATAGCAAATTGTTCTGGAAACCCCTCCAGGGAAAACATACTTGTATGACAAAGATTTTGTCTTTTTGAGATGAAGTCAAAACATCGGTGTCAAATGAAACTCATTTTAGGGGCGCTGCCATGTGTGTGTGTTTACTTGAGTACCTGGGCGGGGGGGGGGGTGGGGGGAAAGCAGCCCAAACCATGACATTTCAGTCGTGAATCTGGGCCAGCGGAGAGTTTACAGCTTCTTCGGGAAAAGCGAGGAGTCCTCCAACCTCCCCTTGCTCCCCTCCACGAAGCCCGGGCTGGGGGCACTGCCGTCCAGGGGGCGGCTGACAGCGCTCTGCTCGTCGCCTTTTTAGCAGGGTTTTCCACGTCGAAAGCGGTTTATGAGCATTAATTTATTAATCTGGGCATTTGGTTACGGAGCAGGCACTCGGGAATTTCAAAACTCGTCTCTATGATGAGCTTTATTAATTGTCAACTATTTTTTTAAGTAAACTGTTACTGACAAAGTTTTCCAATGGCACGACTCCCTGCCTGGGATAAGGCACGACTAGTCTAGGAAAGGTGAGGTTTGGGATGGAAAAAGAAAAAAAACGAACCCAAACCAGAAAAAAAATACCCCCAATGTAACCAAACACAAACAAAACAAAATACCTCAACGAAACACACAAACCTCTTGTTACTTACTTGTGTGTCGTGACGGCGTAGTTCCAACTATGATCAGTTGTGGTGGTGTTTTTTTGTGTGTGTGATTTTTTGTTTGTTTTTTGTTTGTTTGTTTGTTTTCAATAATCTGTTAACCACTTAGATTCTCGAATTATTTCTCTCGAGCTAAAAGTTCCCAGGGTAGCTTTTCCTTATGGCATTCGAGAACCATCCCACTTCATCTCTCACCTGAATCTTGTCATCTGTGCCATCTTGAAGTGATCTGTGAACAATGCTGGTCCCTTGGACAGCCCAAGCTGGTCAATCAGGCAGAACAGACTATGCAAATGGAATGGAAAGGCGAAGCGATGAAGAACAGTGGCCCCCATTGTCTTGGGCATTTCAAAGCGAAGCCCAGCTGCAGCAGGCGTTGCTGTCTCGGACCCTTGGTTGCTACTCTAATGTCATCATTGCAAAACATCACATTTTGAAAACTCTACAGTCTGAATGCATGATCAGCCCTCCACAAAGATTTCACTTTGCCGTGACATCTTTCGAAGTCACCAGAAAAAAAAGCGGGTTAAAAAAAGTGTAAAAAAAGGGGAAAAAAGGGGGGAAAAAAGCCCCCCCCCCAACAACTGGGGACTGGGATCCCAGCCACATTGCCCGCTCACATCCCACAATCCCTCTCCCTCCACTCCTAATAACTTCGGTGCAGCTGACGCCTTTTGCAACCTTTTGGTGGACGCCTCGCCTTTCTTATTGTCGTGTCGGATGACGATTTAAGTTGCATTTAACTTACTTTCTGTCAGGTCTCTTTCAGGCACTCTAATAAACTAACGCCGAGGAGTGATCGCTGTGAGCAGGCAGTGAAGTATTTATTCACAGTTCCTTCCAGAACTTCAGATATGCGGGGCTTTAAAAGAGTCAGGCAACGTCTTTGCGAGTGATTAAACCAGCAGCTAAGCTGGGTATTTACGGGTCCGTTAGGAGTTTTTGTAAATACTCGGTTTCTTAATGCACTCATGCAGTAGCCGCTCCTAACTATTGCTGCCAGCTCTGCTCCAGCTTCTCCTCCCGGCACTGGTCCCAAAATTAGCCCTGCCATGAGAAACGAACTGAACTTTCGGTTCAGTGAAGCTGAGGGCTGTCAGATGATTAATGTGTATTTTCAAGGGACGAAATCATTGCCTGTGTTTCACTTATTGTTCCTTTTCATTTTCTTTTGTCTGTAGGTGATACTTGTGATCACCATGTGGTGAGCAGAGGAAACTCCCCTCTCTTCCACCCTCATGTCAGGAGCCTGTGCTCAAGGAGCAAAGGTCTGTACCACTGGTATCTAAAAATATTGAGGGTTACCTTTGCCTCTCCCCAGTCTCCTATCTCATAGGAATTAGTGAATCCAAAGCTGCTTCTTCAACAACAGCCTTACAGTGAGCCTACAGAGATGGATAATGCCCCAGCCTCAGACATTGCCTGCTTCATAAACGGAGTGGTCACACATATTAGTGGTCACCCTTGAGTGTGGACTGTTTAGCGTTCATGCAGGAGCAGAGAAGAAAGTTTCATTGGTCTAAGAGAGCTGAGCAAAGAAACTCTTAATTACAGTATTTGCAGGGCAAAAAATAATTCAGTGTTTTTTTCCTACCCCTTCAACTGGCTCTTTCCCTTTAGATTGGATAATAGATTCTATAATAACATCACATAAATTGCAAAGGATGGAATTATTTAAAAGTAAATAATTATTCACTGTGATTTGATTGGTTTCCTAAAATTAAGGTTGCCCCATTCAGAATGCGGTGGTGGGTAAGAAGGAAAAGATGACAATAGCAAAGAAAACCAAAAAGAGCTTGAAGTGAATGGGGCAAATAATTCAATGCATAGGTACTGCTTCATCTTCTGGCTGAAAGATCTTTCCCCTTGCCAAAGAGAGTTTTCCAAAGATAAGTACTGGGTTAAAAAAAAGACCTCTTTTCAACTACATCAGCTTCATGGTCAAGTGAGTAATAGCAGGAACTCAGACTACGACCCACCTCATAAAAATGTTTCTAAAGAGAGGAGATGAATTGTAAGCATCCATCTCTGCTAGGTATTTGTTCACTTACCACCTTAAAAATTTACCTACTAGATAAATGGATCCCCCAAAATCTGTGCACTGGGAGGTGTTGGACATGCTTCAGGTACCCTATGGGTCGCTCACTTCCTGGCTTGAATGCAGAAAAAAAAAAGCAATGTAGGCAGCCAGTGCCTACACAAAGGACAACAGCAATGCACATGGCCAGGTGCCAAATGCCCTCTTACTGTAAGTGGGTGCATCTTCATCCAGGTCTCTGCTGAAGTACTTCCAGAAAGAGGTTGTGAAGGAAAAGCTTCAAAGAGGAGCAGCAGCTCATCACACCTACCAGGGAGGTGTTGCCTTGGGGATATGTAGAGGTGGAAGTCCTCTCTGTGGACACCACTGTTCCCAGCTGATGACGAGGTGGCCAGACCATAGGAGAGGGACAGGTGTGCACAAAGTTGCCACCATTTCTGACCCAGACATGTCCCTCCCCCCCATCAGCCCTATTCTAAGCCCACCCTGCCTGGTGGACCTTACCCCTTTTTAGCAGCCTGCCAAACTCACATACCATGGATGAAAGGCAAAAGGTGTGATGTCTTGCTCAGACTCTCTGTCCCTTTACAGTACCAAAACAGTTCCCATCACCCCAGGTTAATGGATTGGGCTCTACTTGTAAGGAAATGATCCCAGATCTGCCCTATGGGCAGGGGTTGGGATAACCAGGGAAAACCTTCTTTGCCAGTGGCTCCATGTCCCCCTGGCCAATAGGAGCTAATTGGAAACAAGATCAGCTGTTCCTTTGAGGAGCGGAACTTTGCTTTTCTCTCACAGCTGGAACTTCTGCCCCTTCCCCCTACCAGCCCCAATCCTGGTACATTCAGCCACAGTTATCTCTGCTCATGCACTGACTGTATTTTTCATGTTTATTATCATCCAACCCAGTGTAGTGCCATCTGGCACAGGCACAACGGGGGGAAGGAAACCATATATTCAGCAAATGGAGCATACAGGGTTTAGGTTTTGTTTTGCGTTGTTTTTCTTATTCTTCCAGTTTCTGTTTAAAACTATGTGGAACACATAGCTGAGCAACTCTCCCTTATGAAAAATGATCAAAACTCCCAATATGAAAAATATAAATTACAGAAGAGCAGAGGTGCCAGAAAGAGACAAGAACCTCCTTCTGCTGAAATACAGTTTCTTCCTTTCCTCCTTCTGTATTTAATTTCATCTTGTGCTCAGATAACTACTTCAATATGTTTGTGTTAACTCTTTTTATTCAGGATTTGTTCTGGTCTTTCAAATAATTATTTTACTGCAAGACATGTATTTTAAGCAAGTACAAACCACTCTCCTCTAGAGCAGTAGAACACTATGAGACACCCCGCACTTCTCAAAACCTTTGCTGTTTTTACTTCCACAATAAAAATACAAAAAATGCATTTCCAGAGTAGATATAAAAAAATACATATAGTATTTTCAGTGGAAGCTAGCACCTATTGCATCACCACCTTAATTCAAAGACAGTTTTATAACAGGATTGTACAATCACAGTGTATTTCTTCCCTGATAATTCATGCACTGTAAGATTATCAGTGGAGTTGTCTGTGGAAAAAGTATTACACAATGCATTGTATTACCTGATTCATTTTCTTTCAAATTTGACTTAAATTTTAATTTTGGCTAATTACTGTATTGTGATCTAAGTCAGCAATCTCGAATTAACTATCATCTTAACTTTTGAAGAAATCCTACAAATGCACGATAATGATGAAATTTAAATTACTGTCGGTTATTGTGTAATGTCTACACCATGGAAAACCTTCAGGTATTTTAATTTCATTTGCATATATAGCATTGTGGTTTTACTTCTTGATTTTTCAGAGTATAATTCTGTACCATTTCCAAACTATAAAAATTCTATTAAAAAACCTCTTTAGGGTATCTATTTATTTTGATTTTCTAAAGTGAATGATAGCTTCGGTGCAAATGTGAGAAGAAATAGTTATTGGGAGCAAATCGTCAGCTATTTAGATTTCTTTGGAAAAGCAACTTGTTGTTTTAGAGGTACCAATGCAGAGTGGTAGAACTGTTCTCTGATCTGCTAAAATAGAGAAACACATTTCAGTGCAATTGACACAGTATTTGTATTTTGAGCTAGATTCTGGTCTCGCATCTGTTTAAAATACACTTTGCTCAAGCCCTGATCCGGGGCTGAGTGATGTCACTGTATAATGAGTTCTAGTGGGCCATGGATCAAGGCCTTTTATACCACTGTGCCTCACTAGGCTGAGAAATGTTATTTTTACTTCATCTTTCTTTTTCCATGAAAGCAGATTAATTTGGAATGAATTAGAAATACTTAAACAGAGATGCTCAGGTTTACTTTTTATGGCAATACTTTTAATTTTAAATGTTTCTTACAGATAAATACAATTTGATAGCAAAAGAAAACTTTGCATTTTCCAGTATATTTCCACTCATTTTTGATTTTTGTGTGAATCGCACTTTACTTTTACATGTATGTGTTCATTGCCTTATTTCTGGCAACAGAGCATTGAAATTTTTACGTAAATAACAAGCAAAAAAGAGAATCTGTTGTAAAGCACGGTGTATGACAAATTAATTGAAAGAAGAAAAATAATTTAAATGATGGTTATTCAATAAATGTCAGGAAAGCAATCCCATGCCTTCACTGATCGAGGCTGCTATGTGACTTCGAAGAAAGCTGTCAAGGAGGACTTCTTATGCAGTAACGTATGGAACTTTGTTCCAGTGGTTAAGCACATAATTAGAAATTCAGCAAGTCTTACCAAAGAGGGTCATAAACAACCACGATTAAAGCCTCAGATCTCTCTCTGCTTTGTATGGTAACATGTACAGGGGAAAAAAAAAAGGGGAGTTTTGGTGAGGACTCAGATTAGCTTCAATTAAACTTAGCTTTAACTTTGAGAGGTGCAAAGCAAAGCAGGCAAAACTTTGCTGCTTGGTGTTAGAGGTCATTTCACCTAGAAACTGGTAGAATTGCTTTTAAGCATCTCCAATAAAAGAGATACAAAAGAGAAATCAAAGTGGGAGAAGCAGTCAGAATGCTATAAATATAACACAGAATACTTATGTTTTGGTAAGCATCAGTAGGTAACAAAGCAAAATTGAATCTATGCATCCCTTTCTTCATTCTGTATGCATTGAATAGGTTGAATTTTAAAAAAAAATCCAGTCCTAAATGATCGTAGTTTTCAGACTTTACAGTGTGCATAAATATTATTAATTTCAATATCCAGAATCAATTATATTATTAATTTGAATATTCAAAATCAGTGTAGTTTGGTTAAATGATCTATAAATAATAAAATTTTAACAGTGATCAAACAGTGGCAGAATGCTATTTCCATGTATTGAAACTATCTTGTGGCACTTATGTGGACTGAAGGGGCAGAAGAGACTTGTCTCATTAAACCATGTCTGGAAAGACAATATGTGGAGGAACAAAACCTCATCATGATTAAACATCCCACTGAGATTACCATGTTAGTGTTAGGTCATTATAAGTGGTGGATAAGTGAAGCAATGCTTCTTTTCAGTGGTAAACACCTCAAAAATTTTAAGGAATTTAAATACTGGGAAACGTTTTCAGGCTCGCCTACTTTCCTTGTCAAGTTTCACCCTTGATTTCCCTTTTTATTCCTCTAACTCCCCTGAAGTGGTCTTCAAAATGCATAAGCGTGGATTTATCGTAAACTTCACCGTTGCAGCTCCACTGTGATTGTTCCGATCATTTCAGGACAATTGTGACAGTTTAAACTAATGACTGAACATCTATTGTGTTAGTGCTGTTTCCTGGTTATCTAGTTATTATTTATTTCCTGCTTGTTCTATTGTTTCTTGCCTTATGAAGACTCCTGTTTGCTCTGATAAAATTCCTTATAACATGGCTACAACACGAAGGGTTGGGTAAAGGGGGTCCTCTGAACGATAACACAAAGAGCATATAAAGAATCCATCACAGCAGTCAGTAGTATAATGCAATTTTTTTTCACTAGACATCCTCTTCACTACTGGATTAGTCACTTCACTAATGAGCAAATGACCCATAACTCACACGAGTGGGAACTTTATGTGCAGGTCTTGCCTTTACCAGTGCAGATGAGCTGCAGCGTCCTTGCTGTTATACAATTGCTTAGTATTTATGGCTCCTTCCCATCTTTCTTGGGCATTCTGTGCACCATGGGAGTTTCAGGTGGTTGAAAAATGCAGGACCCAGTG